CAAAACGAAACATTGAAACATTATTATATTTATAATGCTGTGGTCTAGTTTGTATGATGGACTATCTAGCTACTTCAGTAATAATAGGCCTACATTGTTTTGGTGAGAAGTCTGTTTCTCAGATCATAATAAAAAAAAATGCTTGGCCCCCTATAATGAAAACGAAATGAGCTAGGCTACAACATAGTCCTAACAACGATAGAAAACCAGATCTTAAGACGGATCGCCATTGCCTGAATAATAAAAAAAAGCTGAATGGAGCTAGCTCCAGACGTTAAGACGTGCAGTCGTTAAGACGGGCAGACGTTAAGACGGGCAGATGTCCAGGCAGTCGTTAAAACGTACAGACGTTCTCCACACGCACGTTAACACGTCTTTAAGCTTGGCTAGGAATCGAATGACACAAAGCGAGCGCCATAGTTGCAAAGTTATATTAAAGAGCCTATCGGAACGCCATACGCCTTACTAAATAAACACCTCACCTCCGACGCCGCGCACTCGCTGCATTCCCTTTAGCACATCTAGTGGATGCATAATGCAAACCCAGTCAAACGTTTGAAAAATGTTCTAAAATAGGTCATTGAAGGTGCGCCTTATAGTGCTTATAGTATATAGTATTGCCGCTTTATTTAAAGGGATAGTTAACAAAAAAAAAAATCTATATATATGTCATCATTTTGTTTCCGACTAGTCGACTAAGGCTAACAGCGCCAACTAGTGGTTGTGACAGTCGACTAGTGGACTAGTTGATGAAACCCCTAGTGCCTACTCAACTCAATACAATTTGTAATTAATTGTAATTGAGATAGTAGTGAATTAGTAATCATGGAATACTGAGTGAATTTGATCTTTTTATTATTATTATTACTCCAGGCATATTAATAAAGGGGCACACACTATAGCTAATGTTCAACTTGCTCAGTTAGCTTGGTTCTCGTTCTCAAAACCCCCAACATTATTGCACCTTCATGGATGAGCCATGCAGATAACTACTGTAGTTCAAAGATTATTCAACCTTCATTGAATTTTATATAATCAATGAATTCTTCAACTTTCTATATTAGTTGTCAAAATAAATAATCAAAACTGTTCTATCATAGCTAAATTAAAAAAGGGGGAAAACATCTCTTTTGAATCCCTATGAGCAAGAATGTGAACAAGGCGGAAGTCAACGGCACATAAATGCCAGAATGTTAAATTAGTTATTTTATGGATTTAAAAATGATCCACTTTTTAATTGTCCTTTACAATGAAAACAAAATTACTGCCTATCAACTAGTACAAATGCACAGTGCTCACATTTATTTGTACATTAAAAATTACATAGCCTATCAGTTTGTGCCTTAAATTGTGATCTCACATGGTAGAATATTTTAGTCGAGACATATGTGATGCATGTATAACAAATACAAGCATGCATGCAGTTTTAAGACAGATGTTATCGCCATTTTAATCATGAGTTAATTGACGACAGTTAATTTATAATTCTGTATTATAAATTTTAAGGCCAGACAAGTAGTTTGTTGATGGTTGGTTTTGTAGGGAAGGGGAGGGGGAAACGGGGGTAGTAGAAAACTTCGGTTTTTGTTTCCATCTATCTCCATGTTGAACTGTTTTATGTGCTTACTGTATCCACGTATGATTGTATTAATATCGAAACACGTTCATGAACAATGTAAGTTATTTCTTTGTATAGGACCCGTTTGAGCCCTAGAGCCGACCGGAGATCTCTCCGTTTGTTGAAAGCTTCCCGATGTCGACTCTCGTCTTATTCCGACGCCTGGCACTGGACAGACAGAAGTTTTATTTTCTTTGTCTCACGTGGAGTTTGCGTTGGGGTTTGGAATGAACTACAAGCCGTTGTCTTTGGGGCTGTTTACACCTGGCCATTTCATGCGTTTTCTCAGATCGGATAGCTATCTGATTTATCAAAACGATTCCATTACACCTGGTCACATAAATGTGTTTTTGCAAAACGGATCTTAATCCGATCTTCAATTCCTGCGCTATATACAGATTTAATGAACTGCACGTCACTGAAAGCAACAGATATGAGCTGCATTTTATTAATCATCGGCTAATTTCAAAATCCGCAAAGACAGCAATAAGATAGAGCGGCAACAGGCCTGGTAAGATCAGTTCATTTCTTTACTTTGAAGATTGCAGTGTTAAGAGTCTGCGACTTACTTTCACTTTGATTTGCGATAGATTGCGTCGCGCTGGCTTGATGAATAGACGCTCAGCTGCTCATCTGAGGTGATGCGCGTCGTCATATATGACTAAATTAACATGACGTATAGCCTGATTTCAACAACCAGATGCATTTACACTTGTCCAGTTTTGTCTGGAATGCGGCCTAGACCACGTCCTCAAGTGATTTGAGTGATCGGATTCAAATCCGTCTCGAATGCGTTTCGGAGGGCAACCTGGTCTTTTCACGATCGAATAGCTATCCGATCACAGAAAACGCATCAAGTGACCAGGTGTAAACAGCCCCTTTGAATCCATCGTCTACTTTTGTGGAAAGCTGACTAAAGTTGTGTCGCTCGAGTTGTCTTCTCTGATACGGAGAACGGCGGCGAATAGCTACACGAACCTGCCAGACATTGCCAGGCGAGCGTGAACGTGCATGACGTCATGCCCAGTCTCAGATTCGAGCCCGAATCCCTCTTATATATTTTACTGTACAGAATTATAGAGGCGATCTCAGTGATCAGAGAAGGGCTCATTCAGCCCGTCAGGCGACTGTTTAAGCATAAATGGGTTAGAAAACGGCTATTTTTAACATGAAATGTTGCGCAATGCACCTTTAATACACTTAATTGTACTTCTTTTTCACCTGGGTTAGTAGGCTATATTCACCATGACACAGTACAAATTTCATCACACCACACATCACCATTGGAATAATAGGAATAATAAACATACACAACACCAATATAAACAATACAGTAAACAACGTAGGTTTCATTTATATCAAACCTTTTTCACACAGTTCATAGTCTTAGTGTGTGAAAAGAGAAAACAGTCAAAGTCATTTTAGTCCATCACGGTTTCCACAGTGTATCAAAGGGCAGCAAATAAACCACAAAGTCAGTTAAGCCTGTTTTATGCTTCTGCGTCGAATCGACGGCGTACCCCCACAGACCCCTATCCGTCGACGCGAACCCCTCTCCGACCCCTCCGCCGTAGCTCGACGTGCACCTCCAAAAATTTGTAACTACGCGTCGAGGCGACGCAGACAGCTTTGATTGGTCAGATTATACATCAATTCAGGAGTTTAGCTTTTCCGATTTCCACATCCCGCTATTAGCGCTATTTTTAACATTTGCACCCTCGTTCTGATAATTATAATACTCTTATAAAGAAAGTAAATAAAGAATTAAACAAAAAATAAACTGTTTTTTTATTTCATTGTTAATATAAATATATATGTCTATATTCTTTTCTTTCTTTTTTGCTTGCAATAAACTTTAATCAATCAATAAATCGACGTTTGTTTTTAAAAAACAGTTTGTTGTTTATTTTCAATACAATGTTCACGTTACATCATTGATAATACAGTACTAACCAAGTCTGCAACGGGACACATTATCCTGCCATAGCACAGTTCCATGTGGAGACTGAAAAAAATCCTTCAAGTCATTCCGAACAGATATCGTTATGGCAGCTCGGGTGGAACCTTTATTTTACTGTCTATGGGTGGAACGGGCTCTGGACATCCATGTTGATTCTGTGGGGATAAAGTTTGTGTCGTCTCGTTATTCAACGTCGATTAGCTCCAGCTGGCAGCTGCTAAAACAACATTCTCTCTCTTTCGCTCGCGGCGCACGGAACCAAAGAGATTCGCGAACCCCCCTAGTGTTCTGGCGGCGAAATGCACCGCGATGCACCACAACCTCACGGAGAAGCATAAAACGGCCACGACGCCGTAGTGGTGACGACGTAGCTACGCCGTGGAGTTGACGCAGAAGCATAATGAGGCCTTTAGTCCCGCAATAACCGCTCTTGAGTTTATATATGCTTTTACTCATGCTCCACGACTTCACACGAGTTAACTGTACTTCGAACTGTACTTCAAACTGTAGTTTCTCTGGATGACTGGGACGTCAACAACAGCGCACATATAATTCAGACACTCATACCTATAGAATTAACTCTTAATACGCATGTGCACGGATTTCTCAAAAGTGGGGTTGCTGGCTAACAGGTTAAGCAATTTTAACTAAAGCACAGTCGACGGAGACATCGTGTTTTTATCCTTGCAAAGGCTGTTTGAAAGAGTGTGCTTTTACAGTGTTGCCATGTCCACTTATTATAAGCATATTTGGGGTTGCTGTTAAAGCAATCGACTTTATTATGTAATTAAAGTGCGGGTCACAATATTTTGGTGACGATACAAAAGAGGTTCAAACCGCTTTTGCTGTGATTTCTTGCTTCGCGCATAAGAAGATTTTTTTTGATGCATGATAAAATACGTCATTAACAACTAGCTGTTCAGTTCTGTTCTATACACACTGCATAGCATTTTGCGGTTGTCACTACCTGCATTTTTAGGGAGTTAATTCAGTTGTTGAATGTGGTTGTCATTCTGTACACTCTGTGAGTACAAAACAGGTTTAAGCACTAAAAGGTGAACTGACAAACAAATTTAGCTGCAGTGTATACGTGGATTTTTTGTAAAAATAACGAGTTAGAGTGAGAGAGGTAGTACTTTGTCAATGCGCTACGGCACTCTGCAATCAAAATACGATTTTAAATAGGCTTAGTAACAATATAATATTGAAAATAAATGTGTGCCGTTAAGCGTTAATTTTGCTTCTCTTCTTTGGGGCGTTTTGTTTGACTGCATTTTCAATTGTCTCTTTTTGTTTTTCAACTGACTATACATTTTGTTGTACAAAGAACAAAATATAATTCAGTTTATTTAATTAGTTTGTTCAGGTACTTTCTAAAATAACAGATTAATTATCTAAATATAACATTGTCTTTTTTTCTAGACTTTCAGACTGCAGTATCACTGAAGAAGGTTATAAAGCTCTGGCTTCAGCTCTGAGATCAAACCCTTCACACCTGATTGAGCTGGATCTCAGAGGAAATGATCATGGAGAATCAGGAGTGAAGCAGCTCAATGATTTACTGCAGGATCCAAACTCTCAACTGAAAACACTGAGGTGAGACATGAGGAAATACTTTTATTTAATAGATTTTTAATGTATTAAAAAATACATTACATATAGCCGAATTATTTATAGAAATGTTATTTCAATAATACAATAAGCTACATAATATGTTGTCACATCAAAGTTGATTGAGTGATTTCAAGACAAAAATCATGTAAAATGGATTTTGTCATTACACCAAGTGTAGTTGAGAATTTAACTGAATTCTGCTTGATCTTCTCCTCTGCAGGTTTTTGAGTCCTGCTGCAGATGAAGCCTGTCAGTATGTGACTGGAATTGTGGGTAAAAACCCATTACTCACGAGAGAGCTGAATCTGAGTGAACGTGAACTAGGAGACACACGAGTGAATCAGATCGCTGCTCTACTGCAGGATAAACACTGTAAACTCAACACACTGATGTGAGTATTTTACATGGTTAAAAATAGTATTTTTAATAGAAATGTTACAGTTGTTTATTTTTTATCAGTTAAAAGGTGTTTTAAAATTGATAGGTAATTTTAAAATGATAAACTTCTATCAGACATGACATGAGGCATAGTCCCCCAATAACCAAAACATGCATTTATAGCCTACCATGGTTAGTGTAAACATAGAATAAGGCCATTAATTATTTATATAAATCACACGTTCAGAGCTTTTATAGGCACAAAGTTCCTGTATGAATCAAATGGTTTATTTGACTGTGCATGAGTGCCGCTCACGAATCACCGCTACTCTACGAGCGTTCACCAGCGCGTTATACCAGTGTCATAAGATATGCTCGAGCTGTTCCTATCGTGACACTGGGGATAAAATGTGCAACTCATCTGAATTAAATTGCGAACTCACCACTTTAAAACACAGTGGAGAAAGTCAAACATTATCTATAACAGCAGACCTGCCAATCTGTACACATTTTGACCTCAAAGTACGCTGGTACGATTGATTAAACTACGCAAAAACCTGGTGACGCTTCTGTCCATGCGCAGTCCTTAAATCAAGCAACAGGAAAAGAAGCAGAGTTCGTCCAATCATGGGGCTGTGTTCATTCCCCAAATAGCAAGCGAATGATTGACAGATGCGTAAGGCCTTTCATTAAAAAGAGACTGAAAATTGACAGACATAAAGAATCCTGCTAGATCCCCCTTCCACTCCCGCGGCCTGCCGTCGAGTTCATAAGTGAGGACAGTAACTTTACAGTAGTCACTTTACAGTAGTTATGGTACTTCTGTTCTGACTCCTGAAGGGAAACGGACTGAGTGAATGTGGAAAGTTGAAATATTGTATTGATTAACTTAATCTGGATTCGATGATCACACAGGAGTGATCGCATGGATTATTTTAAAATACTCCGTCATTCATGGTCACTCAGATAAGAGGAAGACATCATTCAGCCAAGCATATTATTAAAAACTTAAGTATTGATGAACAATAAATCTAAATAAAATTAAAACCGCTATTGGCCTTATGCACAGCTGCACTATTTCCTGAACTTAAGCCAGCTCCTTGTTTCCTGTCTGCTATTATTGGCCAAACTTGATTAACTCAGGTGTGTCTGATTATTGTTGCCATGACTACTAAGGTCAGGCACACCTGAACTAATCAAGTTCGGCCAATAATGGCAGACAGGAAACAAGGAGCTGGCTGAAGTTCAGGAAGTAGTGCAGCTGTGCATAAAGCCAATTGTTTAGTGATTATGAAAGTGCTGTGATTTGTGGATTACTGATAAACGCGAGTCTGGAGAAACTGGCATTTCTTAATTCATTCTCAGTGTTGAGAAACACAGCCTGCATGTCTTACGTTATTGTGTTAATAATAACTAAGGTCCTAATCATGTTACATAATAATTTTGTATAAAAACTATCACGTTATTTACTTATGGATTAAAAAGTACTGTTGTATCAGTGCTGTGCGAGTTCTCTCTCTCACAAACACAGACCGTGCATACAGAGAGAGCCCTTCAATTTTCATTTTACAATGATCTTCTAAGTTTAAATTTTGTTCTTGGTTGTTTTTTTCCTGTCAAAATGTCAGAAAGCATTTCTTAATATCCATCCGTGTTTTTAAAATTTGTTTAATGACGGACGTTTTACTATCACCGAGGGCGGGGTCTAGGCCACAACCACACTGTCAATCAAACCCCTTGCTCAATTCTACGTCACAAAGAGCTGAATCTTAGAACAGCTCCTTCTGAGACAGTGCATATGATTTATTAAGATTGTAAAAAAAAAAAAAAAAAACTCTGGGTGGATTTTTATCATTCTAGGGTGGTTTTGCTCACACTGCCAACACACATTTATGTTCAAACACCATGTAAAAGTGAATTTTCCATAATAGGCGCCCTTTAAAGGGTACATATCATGCTTTTAAATCATTAATTTTTACTTATAAATCATACATTTGTGGTCTATATAAAGCATAACTGCAATGATTGGGTCTGAATTCCTCATTATTATAGCTCCACAGGCCCCTTTTCGACCGCTTTTCTGATGTGCGTCAGTGAGCGACCCGTTTCAAAGTGGCCCCTTTAAATAAAATGGAGTTGCGTCTTTCCCGCTCTGCAGGTCGCTGAGTTGTTCACACTCGGTTCAACTCCCCGCGTTCGGCCATTATTGTAGTTTGATAAGAGATATACGATTATATACTAAGGCTTCAAAGAACATTTTTAGTCACTCGTTAACAAAATGTCAACAACAGAAGACTTGTCCATCAAGCCTTACATATTCGAGCCAGAGCGAGCGATTTGAAAAAGACGACGACGAACCTGCAGAACAATGTCGTCATAATTATGGATGCAGGGGTATGTAACGTTAAGTTAACTATGTTGTGTTATTAGTGAAAGTCGACTATTTCTCTTGTTAAAACAAGCACACTGACAAGATAAATGACTACGGTCCAATCTTACCACTAAAAATCTGTATTAATAATGTAAGGGTTAATGCCCGACGAGGTGTCCATTGTCAGGTTTTACTTGCCAAATAAAACATTTTTAAAACATTAGTTTATATTTTAATTAGGCTAAATCTATTTTTTACAAATAATAACTTGCCTGATGGTTTATTTACCAACCGGAGATACTTATAGTCCGCACAGCTTGTAGAACCATTCAGGTTCAAAAATGCATTTTTTTTTTCATGAAACACAAAGGTAGGCATAGTTATTTTTTTATTACACATAAAACAATTAATCAAACAACAATCAAAAAAACACAAAAAAAAACCAATTAGTTCTGAGCACCAGCGATTTGCGCTTATAGAGGGCAATAAATTAATCAGATCAAAGAGAGGGTCATTTGCCTACTATACATGCTAGCTTTTTTTATTTACAATTAATTTCAACGTTTCCATTTATAGTGCAATTTGAAAAAGTCGGTCAGTCAGGAGGATCCACAAAAGCTGGGTAACGTTACTGCTGCCCATGATGGGCACTTGATGCAGACAGTACGTTGCTCCAGCTTCGTCTCTCACGGACAGACGGAGCCCAGTAAGCCCGCAGACTGCTCTCGCATCGATGGCCTGTCACCAACATTATTTGACGGCTCTCCAGTCCAGCATCGGAGAGTCGACCTACAGCATCCCAGTCGTCAAAGTTGCCATATTCTCCATAAATGTTAAAAGAAATAACGAAGTCGCTCATTGTTGTATTAGGCTATAATATCTAACGTTAGATGTTTGTTTTGATAGATCGTTTGACTGCCTGTTGCTATGGTTACTCACAGCTGTTGTAGGGAGCACATTTATTTATAAATTTCGAATGGTAAACAGGCAGTTTCACCAGAACTACTTTACTAGGTGTCCTCTATCACTTTTTAACGGACACCCTGCAGCCAATCAGAATCGAGTATTCACCCAGACCATGGTATAAAATATAATAACTTACGTGTAGAAAAGCATCAGAAAACACAGCAGCCTCATTCAGACGAAGTCGATCGGCAAACCCTTTTGTATACTGGCGGAGGTTGTTGAAGTGGGAATCCTTGAAGTGCTTCAGGTCACTACATCCAAAAACCGAACATTTTGACTTGCCCTCTCGTAACTTCTGCATCATTGAGCTTGGACTACAAAATCGGAGCGAGAAATAATAATGGCGGATTGCTCGAAGTGTTGGACCGGTAGTCAATGTCCTTATTTGTCAGTTCCGCTGCAAATACTGTGACGTGATAGTTCAAAAAACGTCATAGAGAACAGAAAAATCTGAACAGGTTGAAAAATATGACCAAAACAAAATATAAAGATATAAACGAAGCACCTGAAGAGAATAATTTAATCTTTTCTGTACTTATAAACACTCCAAATATACAACAAAATGCATTTAAGGGCTAAAAAAGTGGATTTTGCATGATATGTCCCCTTTAACGTTTAAAATACAGAGTTTTGGTCGCACGAACACACCCCCAAAGTGATTCTGTATACAAAGTGATGCACACACATTCAAGTCACATGGTTATCTCAATTTTAGTTTTTTTGGACTTATGCGTTTGTTCGTCGCATGATCACAATTGTGGCCAACGTGTTTGAGAAAAACATTTATTTCATAATGTGATTTGCTCCCCACTTTCAATTTTTCTACTTCAATGAAAGGTTAGATTTTTGCTAATTTTTTTTTTTTTAATGAAAGATCAAAAGTATAAACAATGCAGATTTGTTTTTTGCAGCCAGTTTTGATCATATTTACCAGGTGTGCCATCAATTCTGACCATGACTGTAATGCAGGTCTATGGTCACCACCTCAAAGAGCATGCACAGAGAAGTCCAAATTAAACATGATTTAATGACTCGTAAATGTAAGTACAGTATTTATATTGTTTTTACCTCTTGTAACCACAGCCACGTAAACTGAATCACACTCTGACACTCTCAGACTCCGATACTCCATCTAAAAACATAAATACAATGACACTAAACAACTTTTTTCCGCTTACTTAAGCGTGCGGCGGGGATTTTGTACATGACACAACAGTCGCGTGGTGTCGTGACGTCTCCCCACATTTGTACTTAGATGGGCGTTCCTCAAGTTTACCGCTATGGGCGTGGTAAAAGCCAGCGGCCAGTCTAGAACAGAGGACCTGTGAGAGACTAATTACGCCCGTCTCCATATGCTCTACTTCGATTGGATAGTCGCTTCGCATTCAAGAAATTCATTTGCACAAAGATGGGCATCGGCCAGCTTTTTCACATGCAGCATTTTTCCAAATGAAGCGCCGCCCTCCCGGGATGCTTTGCAGGCGCGTTAAAGTCGCGTGCCGTCACCCATAGGAATAAAGCGGAGCGCGGCGCGACATAAGTATTGCATGGACAAGTGCATCCGCACCCTTAAAGGTTGTATCAGCGATTGTGGGTGACGTCACTTCTGTTTGTGTTTGAAGCGAGATCCCAAACAAACCAAGTTAGCTCGCCCCTCCCTCCCGTTTCCCTGCATCATGAAAAACTCACACACTAAATCCCTACAATCTGATATTCGATGGAGCTATCCAAGTTTAGTCGAGCTTCACTCATATTTTTAAAGAATTATATTTTCACACACAGTTCACATACAAAAAAGTCAGCACTAGAAGTGACTCACCTGTCCAGAAGAAACAGTGCAACATCGGCGTCCAATTTAAAAATGTTCAATTCTTTGAGTTTTCTCACCGTTCAAAAGCCTTCCCGATTAATATTCGTTAATCAGTCATAACAAATTACATTCATAACTGGCTTTATGCAGTTATTAATGCAGTTATTAATGCAGTTATTAGAGAGAGAGAGAAAGAGAGAGAGAGAGAGAGAGAGAGAGAGAGAGAGAGAGAGAGATGTTGAAATAATGAGACAGAAAAGCATCTGCGTCAATATTATTATTTATTTATTTAGTACATTTGTTTTATAATCTGACTAAGGTGTATTGCATTAAAGTTGAAGAATTTTATACAATGTACTGATTGTGTAGATGTCATTCTGCAGAATCTGCTGCTGTGATAAAGAGTAAAGAAAACTGACAAAAGATATTGTTGAAAAATGAAAGATGTTGTCTGTTCGTGTGTCTGTTAAGAGTGAGCGTTCGTGAGCGGGAGACACGCACATAACCTGATTTATACGAGGTTGAACTGGCCGTGTGACAAAGCGGGCATATGCTGGACACGAGCGCGAGTTTGCGGGCGAATTTAATAACGCGGAGCGTTGTTAACTAATTGGTCCATATATGCACACTGTCGTTTTTTGAGAAGATTAAAGGCTTTTAAGTGCACCTTATAGTGCGGAAAATACGGGAAAAGGATCAGCACGAACTCTATGGAAAAACCGAAGTCCCGCGGGACACGAGGGTAGATTGTCCCGTGCAGGGCTGACCGAACGGTCCGGGATTTTACCGTGTACCGTTGTATCCCTAATATTTATCCTACTTAGAGTCTGGTGTTACATTTTTTTTTTTTAATCTCTGCTCTTTCCTCCACTGACTTTCTCTTTCGTCCAAACTTTACTGTAGGGGCCAGCAGGGGCCGCTTACTGTTGTCATTCATTTATTTATCCATTGCTGATCTGATGCTACTTAGCTAGCTACCATTCGCCTTATTCACTTGGCGGCCATTTTGAAAATGGAACGCCGCTGAGGGGTACACTCACCCGGAAGGATGCATGCGACGCAGCAGCACCAGCAATGAAAACTCGCAATGCGGACCACCAATCATTCCTGTCTGCCCGAATTAACGATGCAAAATGTGAAGCAAAGTGCCAGTGACTGAAACATCCCCCGGGCTGTGTTAATTAAGGGATGCAGTACCTGTATCGGAGGTTTTATCCACGACATTGAACGTAGGAATGGACGCCTTGCCAGTTTCTGCGAGCTTGCAGCAGCCAGAGGTAATTAACGTTAGTAAGCTAAGCTGTAATATGGAGTTGTTGACTGTGTAAATTACTATGTTAGATACAATTGTACTTTATTGTTTAGATACACATCCAGTAGCTTACATACACACGCATGTAAAACAATCAAATCACTCATGTATGTAAAAGGAAAGAGGAGAAGTGATTTTAAGGTCTGACAGGGACTGATCCTTACACACTGACAATAATAAGCTGCTATGGTGACAATACAAGTTTACATATATGTATTCATAAAGAATAAAAATAATGATGGTAATGGATTTGTATAGATTCTAATAGTACACAGTCAACTTCCTACAAGCTTGCAGAAACTGAGGTAAATTGGCGTCCATTCTTACGTTCAATGTCGTGGATAAAACCTCCGATACAGGTACTGTATCCCTTAATTAACACAGCCCGGGGGATGTTTCAGTCACTGGCACTTTGCTTCACATTTTGCATCGTTAATTCGGGCAGACAGGAATGATTGGTGGTCCGCACTGCGAGTTTTCATTGCTGGTGCTGCTGCGTCGCATGCATCCTTCCGGGTGAGTGTACCCCTCAGCGGCGTTCCATTTTCAAAATGGCCGCCAAGTGAATAAGGCGAATAGACTGTCTGTCAGCTGCTTGCTCGCGCAAGGAGGGGGGCGGGGGCGGGTGCGGTTGGGTTGGAGATGCGAGCGCCAGGCAGAGTTTCAAGTGGAGCTGGTGATTGGATGAGAGCAGTTGACCAATGTCCGGCCGGACAGCTTACGTTGGTCAACTTCTCTGCGGCTGTACAGCCAATAGAGTGAATGGATTTTTTTCATTCTTTTTTCTATTCATATTGTTAGGATTGTACTATATAACTATAACCAGCATCTAAACGAGGATATTAATAATGAACAATCTTTGAAATCGTATACCATAGCTTTAAGTAGTTTATAATAAGGTTTGGTACTGTAATAAAAAAAGCTTATTTGCAGATCAATACTTATTAAATATCTGCACTAGTCTTTCTTGTTTTACTTCAAAAACTACTTGTTAGTTGATGTTAACTAATAAGATCTGTAAAGTATTACCAAATAAAATAAAATAAAATTCCTAAAATTCCAATTAAAATAGAAGACTCGTTAACGTCAACATCTTCCAGCACACAGAACTAGTGTGACAGCCTTAAAAACAGAGTATGGGGAATAAACTAAGTGCCTGATGAAGCATTTCAGTCTTTTCTCTTTCTGTCTTCAGTCTGCAGAGATGCAGTATTACAGTGAAACAGAGTCTCATCCTGACTTCAGCTCTGAAATCAAACCCATCACACCTGAGAGTGCTGGACCTGAGCAGGAATAACCTAGGAGACTCAGGAGTGAAGAACCTCAGTGATCTACTGATGAACCCACAGTGCAAACTGGAGAAACTAAAGTTAGTATCATTATACTGTACAGCAGTTACTGTGATATTACAGTTTACAGTTTATTTTAAGACAACAGGACTCAAGTAATAGTGTTTATAGTTCGGCACCTTCTGTTACTCTTTATTTTAAATGTCTTTTAACTAGTAAGTAATAAATCTTATTGTACTAGTGTATATTTAAAATTTTCTCACAACCTCATTTTCATTTACATAATATTCAATATGGAGTCTAATCTGACTAAGGTCTCTTACGTTAAAGTTGAATAATTTGATACAATGTACTGATTGTGTAGATGTTGTTCTGCAGAATCTCCTGCTGTGATAAAGAGTAAAGAAAACTGACAAAAGATATTGTTGAAAAATGAAAGAGGAGAATCGACATCTTCCAGCACACAGAACTAGTGTGACAGCCTTAAAAACAGAGTATGGGGAATAAACTAAGTGCCTGATGAAGCATTTCAGTCTTTTCTCTTTCTGTCTTCAGTCTGAGTGAATGCAGTATTACAGAGAAACAGAGTCTCATCCTGACTTCAGCTCTGAAATCAAACTCATCACACCTGAGAGATCTGTACCTGAGTGAGAATAAACTAGGAGACTCAGGAGTGAATCACTTATGTGACGTACTGAAGGATTCACACTGTAAACTGGAGAGATTGAGGTCAGTAACATTCACACACATCAATCATATTTCTTAAAATCACTTCTACAGTTTAAATCAAGACACTGAGTTCACAGTTTTAGTGAGGTGAGCGTCCTTATGCCCTTCTTACTCTGATAGTCCTTGAAATGGAGACTTTAAGGGCATCAAGGCTTTTGTCACAATGAAGCTGTTTTGACTTGATGAAGACAAACACAATGTACTTTCCTCATTATCTTCACTTGGAATGTTACCATGACAACGCAGTATAGCATCCAGCAGCCCATTAGCTTTTCCTACATTAACAATTTTACAATAATATGATTGTTGCAAATAAATATACATTTTATAATGAAGCTTTTAAAATATGCTTTATGAGTGATGGGTGTTTTCTCTTCTATCAAATGTATAAAAACTTGCCCTCTCTTCTTTGCAGGGTTCCTGCGGGGTCTTAAAAAGTATAAAATTATGAATTTTAAATTTAAGGCTTTAAACTTTAAATTTAATTAAGTCAAGTCTAAAAAGAATTAATTAAGTCAATTTAATTAAGTCAGGTCTTTTACCCTCGTTCATTTCCAGAAGTGCTGGCCCCAGAAAATTATCACAAAGTAGCAAAAAAGCATTGAGTCGTAGCCTACAGAGCGGAGCTTTAGAGCAGGGGTCTCCAACACGTCACTCGCGAGCGGCCAGGAGCTCGTGTCTGATTGGAGGAAGCTCACCGAGGGGGCGTTACCATATCGCGGCTTTTACGCGCTCAAGTTAGTTCTAATGTAGGCGCACGGCCAGTGTTGGGAGTAACGCATTACAAAAGTAATACATTACAGTAACATATTACGTTTTGATGTAACGCAGTAGTGTAAGGCATTACTAATCAATTTTCAGTAATATTTTACTCGTTACATGTTCAGTGAGGCTTGTATTACAGTTGTATTACAGTGTATTGTCTGCTTTTACTTCTTAAAGGCAACAGACTATGTGAAAGTTTTAAAGCAGTCTTTTAGTGCTAGTTCAGAGCGGTCGCGTCTGTAACATTGTTTTTTCCTCATAAATGCGAACACGAAAACTAAAATAAAATGAATATTTTAAGTTCTATGGAGACTGGAGAGCCAACCCTTCCTCATCCGATTTGCGCAGTGTAATTAACAGAATTACAAAAAAATCGATTTTGCCTCCTATTTTTTTTGTCACGCATGAATGTGTGTCTTTTCCCTAATATTAAAAATAAAACATAGACTGATATTTGTCTAATGTCTGGAGTCCTTTAAGGAAGTAGCCTATATACGTTTCAATACATGTATTTTCCGAGAATTTTTATTTCAAGTTTTGACTGCAAATGTCATCATGTCCATAATGCTGGACTTCCCCAATTTTAAATAATTTATCCTCAACTTCTAGGTCTACGTATTTTATAATGTTAACTTCAAATAATACTAATAGCCTAATTTAAAGATAAGGCAGCATTGGATATGGATGGTAAGGAGAATAACGCTGGGGTTGGAAGAGGTGTGTCGCGATTCTGTAGGTTCGTGGATCTGAGTTGTGTGGCCAATCGCGATTTCGGTTTCATATTGCATATCGTTACAGCCCAAAAGTTAAGTTCTACTTAGTTATTTTGGTGAAAGTAACTCAAAAGTAATACATGAGTAATGTAACGCATTACAATTCTGGGACAGTAATATTGTAAGGTAATGAATTACTTTTAAATAACAGTAACAAGTAATACCTAATGTATTACAGTTTGGAAGTAACTTGCACAACACTGCGCACGGCTAGCGCACTCATAATTGACGCGACACACGTTTTTTCAGGCGCAGCGAGATGAGAAAATATATACTTTCAGAATGCCGCAAACGCACTGCAGGTCATGTGACAAGAACCAACCAATCAGCTTCACCCTTTCTGTTACAACATTAAAAGCTCAGTCAACATGAAGTATGGGGTGCACTGAAGTGTGTAATCCATCAGCCGGAAGTCGAAGCCTCGCGGGAGCCGCCATTGTAGCAGAACTTCTGCTGTTAGCATCCCATTGACTCCCATTCATTTTGGCGTCACTTTGACAGTGAATAACTTTACATCTGAGGCGTTTAAAGACTTCATTTTTCCATTAGCCTATTTATTTTTAAAGAAACAAGACAATGTATAAAAGGCTCCATTACCTTGTATCTTACGTTATGGCCCTGTAGAAGCCGTTTTTGTAAAAATAGGCTAAGGATTGCGTCATAACAAGCGAGTCTCTGTCACACAGTAGAGAAATTACCGTATAGACAGGAGGAGAAGGCAATCTTTTACTGTCTATGAGGCAATCTGGGGGACATGGAGGCATAAAGTCAAGGCAGAAGCCCAAAGATAGAGAGTTCATAAAAGCAACGAGATGAAATATTTCAACAACAGATTTGTTTCAGATTTCAGTTCAGATTTGTTTTGGCACAGCTACTAGAAGGTCAGACCGGTCGCTCACGTCACATCTCCGTCGTCCAGCTCAGTGTGAGCAGTCGCTCAGCCATCAGGAAGAGATGCTTCTAATGGGCTTCACTTTTCTCTGTTGAAGTCTATGGGGTCGCTGTGTCCATTTCTTTTACTGTCTATGTGTGCACCCAAAGACTGCGGGTGATTTTCTCTTCTTCGTTAATCAATCTTGTAGCAGAGCTACAGCAAGCGTTTTTCAGTAGTGGAAATCCATTAGCTACTAACACAGTGTAGCTAATAACTTTGTCAGTGAATGGTTGCATAGCAAAGACAGACGCAGAGATAAAATAAAAGATAAACTAATGTGCATTGTAAATGTCAGTAATTTGTTATTTTTGACTCATTCTTGTAAAAAATGATTTAAATGATATGTGAGGTTTATCTTTTTATAAAGCCTTTTTTGTCAACTTAATTTGAACTTGTACATGTTAGTAGATAACATTTTGCAAGATACTCTTTTAAAATCTGGCCATTTTAATGGTATTATTTTAATGTTTATGTAAACAAAAACTGCATATTGATGCTAATTTCATTAGCAATTTCATTTTTGTTATTTGGTGGATTTCAACATAAAACTTGTTGAATTGATTTCACTGTGTAGTGTTAGTACTTTTTGAACATAATTCTGTGATAACTGTAATCATTTTTCTGAAGACTGATTTCATTTAAATAAAATAATTTTTTCAGAATTTCTTTGATTTAAATATGTTTTTTGGTAATGCAAAGTTCATTTGGTATGCCTTAAATTTCAATCTCTATGGTGTTTTGTTTGTTTATTTCATTTAAATAAAGTTTTATTTGATTGTCCTCCGGTTCTGCCTCCTCCTTCCTGGGTTTCGGCATGACATCATATAGATAGACGCCCTATCGACCGCTACTGCCTATTGGCACAAACAATCCGTGGGGCCACCATCTTAAACCGGTCATCCGCTCGGCTCAGTGTAATCTCTTTGGCAGGTGATATGAGCTGTCAGTGCATTAAATGAATCATATCTCACTGAATACCGAACTGATTTTCACGCGGGGTTTTTTGCTGCAAAGGTCATACATGCAGCTATGATACAGGACACATGGGATATTTTATTCACAAAATACAGCCAATAGTACAGTAATGTTAAATCTTAAATGCGAGAC